AATATGTGTAACGTTGAACTATACATTAATTAGTCTCTCCTACGTTTATATATATCACGTTGAACTATATATTAATTAGTCTCTCCTTCGTTTATATATATAACGTTGAACTATATATTAATTAGTCTCTCCCACGTTTATATATATAACGTTGAACAATATACTAATTAGCCTCACCTACATTTATATGTGTAACGTTGAACTATTTATTAATTAGCCTCTCCTACCTTTATATATATGACGTTGAACTATATACTAATTAGCGTCTCCTACATTAATATGTGTAACGTTGAACTACATACTAATTGGTCTCTCCTACGTTTATATATATAACGTTGAACGATATACTAATTAGTCTCTACTACGTTTATATATATACCGTTGAACTATTTACTAATTAGTCTCCCCTACGTTTTTATATATAAAGTTGAACTATATACTAATTAGTCTCTCCTTCGTTTATATATATAACGTTGAACTATATATTAATTAGTCTCTCCCACGTTTATATATATAACGTTGAACAATATACTAATTAGCCTCTCCTACATTAATATGTGTAACGTTGAACTACATACTAATTGGTCTCTCCTACGTTTATATATATAACGTTGAACGATATATTAATTAGTCTCTCCTTCGTTTATATATATGACGTGGAACTATATACTTATTAGCCTCTCCTACGTTTATATATATAACGTTGAACATTATACTAATTAGCCTCTCCTACATTAATATGTGTAACGTTGAACTACATACTAATTGGTCTCTCCTACGTTTATATATATAACGTTGAACATTATACTAATTAGCCTCTCCTACATTAATATGTGTAACGTTGAACTACATACTAATTGGTCTCTCCTACGTTTATATATATAACGTTGAACAATATACTAATTAGTCTCTACTACGTTTATATATATAACGTTGAACTATTTACTAATTAGTCTCCCCTACGTTTTTATATATAACGTTGAACTATATACTAATTAGTCTCTCCTACGTTAAAATCTAACGTCGAACAATATACTAATTAGCCTCTCCTACGTATATATATATAACGTTGAACTATATACTAATTACTCTCTCCTATGTTGAGATGTAACGTCGAACAATATACTAATTAGCCTCTCCTACGTATATATATATAACGTTGAACTATATACTAATTAGTCTCCCCTACGTTTATATCGTAACGTTGAACAATAAACTAATTAGCCTCATCTACATTTATATATATAACGTTGAACTATATATTAATTAGTCTCTCCTACGTTTATATATATCACGTTGAACTATATATTAATTAGTCTCTCCTACGTTTATATATATAACGTTGAACAATATACTAATTAGTCTCTACTACGTTTATATATATAACGTTGAACTATATATTAATTAGTATCTCCTACGTTTATATATATAACGTTGAACTTTATAATATGTGTAACGTTGAACTATATATTAATTAGCCTCTCCTACGTTTATATATATAACGTTGAACTTTATATAAATTAGTCTCTCCTACGGTGATATGTAACGTTGAACAATATCCTAATAAGCCTCTCCTACGTTGAAATGTAACGTCGAACAATATACTAATTAGCCTCTCCTACGTTTATATCGTAACGTTGAACAATATACTAATTAGCCTCTCCTACATTTATATGTGTAACGTTGAACTATATATTAATTCGCCTCTCCTACGTTTATATATATAACGTTGAACTTTATATTAATTAGTCTCTCCTACGGTGATATGTAACGTCGAACAATATACTAATTAGCCTCTCCTACGTTTATATCGTAACGTTGAACAATATACTAATTAGCCTCACCTACATTTATAGATATAACGTTGAACTATATATTAATTAGTCTCTCCTACGTTTATATATATAACGTTGAACTATATACTAATTAGTCTCTCCTACGTTTACATCGTAACGTTGAACAATATACTAATTAGTCTCTCCTACGTTTATTAATCTAACGCTGAACAAGAAACTACTCAGCCTCTCCTACGGTGATATGTAGCGCTGAACAATACACTACTTAACCCCTCCTACGGTGATATGTAGCGTTGAACAATATACTAATTAGCTTCTCCTACGTTTATATATGTAACGTTGAACTATATACTTATTTGTCTCTCCTACGTTTATATATATAACGTTGAACTATATACTAATTAGTCTCTCCTACGTTTATTAATCTAACGCTGAACAAGAAACTACTTAGCCTCTCCTACAGTGATATGTAACGCTGAACAATACACTACTTAACCCCTCCTACGGTTATATGTAACGTTGAACAATATACTAATTAGCTTCTCCTACGTTTATATATGTAACGTTGAACTATATACTTATTTGTCTCTCCTACGTTTATATATATAACGTTGAACAATATACTAATTAGCTTCTCCTACGGTTATATATGTAACGTTGAACTATATATTAATTAGTCTCTCCTACGTTTATTAATCTAACGATGAACAAGAAACTACTTAGCCTCGCCTACAGTGATATGTAACGCTAAACAATACACTGCTTAACCCCTCCTACGGTGATATGTAACGTTGAACAATACACTACTTAGCTTCTCTTACGGTGATATGTAACGCTGAACAATACACTACTTAACCCCTCCTCCGGTGATATGTAACGCTGAACAATACCCTACTTAGCTTCTCCTACGGTGATATGTAACGCTGAAAAATACACTACTTAACCCCTCCTACTGTGATATGTAACGCTGAACAACACACTACTTAACCCCTCCTACGGTAATATGTAACGCTGAACAATACACTCCTTAACCCCTCCTACGGTGATATCTAACGCTGAACAATACACTACTTAACCCCTCCTACGGTGATATGTAACGCTGAACAATACACTACTTAGCTTCTCCTACGGTGATATGTAACGCTGAACAATACACTACTTAACCCCCCCTACAGTGATATGTAACGTTGAACAATAACCTATTTAACCCCTCCTACGGTGATCTGTAACGCTGAACAATACACTCCTTAACCCCTCCTACGGTGATATTTAACGCTGAACAATACACTACGTAACCCCTCCTACGGTGATATTTAACGCTGAACAATACACTACTTCACCCCTCCTACGGTGAGATGTAACGCTGAACAATACACTACGTAACCCCTCCTACGGTGATATGTTACGCTGAACAATACACTACTTAACCCGTCCTACGGTGATATGTAACGCTGAACAATACACTACTTCACCCCTCCTACGGTGATATGTAACGCTGAACAATACAATACTTAGCTTCTCCTACGGTGATATGTAACGTTGAACAATAAACTATTTAACCCCTCCTACGGTGATCTGTAACGCTGAACAATACACTACTTAACCCCTCCTACGGTGATATGTAACTCTGAACAATACACTACTTAACCCCTCCTACAGTGATATGTAACGTTGAACAATACACTACTTAACCCCTCCTACGGAGATCTGTAACGCTGAACAATACACTACTTACCCCCTCCTACGGTGATATGTAACGCTGAACAATACACTACTTAACCCCTCCTACTGTGATATGTAACGTTGAACAATACACTACTTTACCCCTCCTACGGTGATATGTAACGTTGAACAATACACTACTTAACCCCTCCTACGGCGATATGTAACGCTGAACAATAAACTACTTCCCCCCTCCTACGGTGATATCTAACGCTGAACAATACACTACTTAACCCCTCCTACGGTGATATGTAACGTTGAACAATAAACTACTTAACCCCTCCTACGGTGATATGTAACACTGAACAATACACTACTTAACCCCTCCTACGGTGATATGTAACGCTTAACAATACACTACTTAACCCCTCCTGCGGTGATATGTAACGTTGAACAATACACTACTTAACCCCTCCTACGGTGATATGTAACGCTGAACAATACACTACTTAACCTCTCCTACTGTGATATGTAACGTTGAACAATAAACTACTTAACCCCTCCTACGGTGATATGTAACGTTGAACAATACACTACATGTATCTAGCTAGTGTTGCCTACCACAGAGTTTTTAATCTACATGCCGGTCGACACATCATCCGATACCAAATAATGTAAAAGTACATTTTTTGCGCTAAATTGTTATTGCAGAAAGTGAAGATTTTGTATATTGTCATCCATTGCACATTTTTGCGGTGCGCCAATTTATCAATGCGCTTATATCTATCTAAAAGCGAAAATGCGCTAATATTTGAGTCCGTTAAAATAAGTACTTTTACATTATGAGACTAGAACAGGGTCAAGCAGAATAAAAACCTCGTTCACCGTGTCTAAGATATTTGTTATCGACACTTTGATCCTGCACCAAAGTCTCGTTTAAATATTATCTATATAAATAGAAAATTAATCGTCCGGAACAAGTTCTCCGCTCGCAGTTCAAATTTTAGAAAAAGCTTTTTTGGCGATATTCTTTGTATCAATATATAAGACAAAATGCACATTTTTCACGTTTTATTCCATTATCAGTCACCATGAAGAAACACGTAAATTGTCTCGTGGAAAATAAAGGATTAGATATACTGATGTTGATGTTGTTCCTGATGCAATGTAGCGTTGCTTTCCGATGTAAAGACCCTTCTCAAATGAATGTTCTTTTCTGGATCTGATAGTCATCTTGATATGTACCCACAGGCTGAGCGGAAATACTCAAATATACCTTCTTGCATAACCTCGTTTCCACCCCCTTTTTTTGTGAGTTCATGCTGCCTTTTTGGTTTCATCTCAATTCATTTTTCATTTTCAACTTTGAGTTTTTGTCATGTTCTTGTGTATCAATGTCACAAACATTTGTTCGAATTTTATTTCAGCGCCAAGTATTTGGCGTTTTAAAAATAGTTTTTCACAAATCGGGGAATAGCACACACATTTTACAAATACATTTGTTTTTATTTATATACAATTAAAGTACGATTAACAGTTTTGTTATTTTCGATCGTCGTCATCATTATCGCCCGAATATGCAGATGAATTCCATCCTCCAGAAGAAAACGATCCTTTACCACCACCAGAAGAACCATGCCCTTTTCCGAATGACCAACCACCGGATCCAGACCCGAAACCCCCTCTTCCACCCATACTGGAATTCCAGGACCCTCCACTACTTCCGCTCGAGCCCCAAGAACCTCCACCGAACGAGCCAGTACCTCTACCAGCCCCTCCCGAACCACCGCCGCCACCGCCGCCGCCACCACCACCGCCGCCGCCACCACCACCGCCACGTGAACCTCCCATAAGAGCTGCTAATAGTACATTATTGTTACTCCGAGCGCCACCTTCCGCCTGTTCGGCTCCCGACTCAATCATTTGTGACAAGGCCTTGTATCTAAGTAGATTAGTGAAAATGTTGTTGGAGTTAAAAATACCCGTGTTGCCCTGGTTACCTCCCGTTCTTTGCATACCAGTGGAAGAGCCACTTTGAAATCTAGTATTAGAAGAACCACTATTAAATCCAGTAGAAGTGCCAGAAGACCAGCTTGGAATCCGACCAGGCATTCCTTGAAACTGTCCGTTTCCTTGGAAACCGTTATGTTTTCCAAACCCAGTATGTATATTGTTAGTTGTCATTGAACCTCGATTAAGTCCAAAACCGCCCCCTGTGAATCTATCATGTCCCCCGGTTCCGAATCTACCACTGTAGCTCTGCCATCCGTCAAAACCTACATCCCTTCCTGTACCAATATACATGCCGTTATTTAAGTAATGGACACCCGTGTCGGGCATTCGGCCACCAATTTTCCAGTGGTTAGTTCCTCCTGGAGCACCGCCACCGAAAAGAAACCCACTTGGAGTATACCCATTTACATGGAAACCTTTTCCGCCCGTTAAACTTCCGGTAAAACCACCTGTAGTCCCTCCCATGAATCCAGTGTTTCCAAAAGCGTTCCCCCCAGCACCACCGTGTCCAGCCCACCATTTACCATTGGAAAAGCCTATAGGATAAGTGACACCAGCACTTCCACCGCCGCCGCCACCACCTCCACCACCTCCTCCTCCGCCACCACCACCAGTACCAAAACCTCCTGGAAACAATGTAAAACCTTTGCTTCCGCCACCACCTCCACCGCCGCCGCCGCCGCCTCCCCCACCACCACCAACAACAACTCCGATTCCATGACCATTTCCCGGAACACCTCCGGGAAATGGAAATTTGCCTCCAAATCCTCCTACAGGAAAGCTGCCGGAATTTCCTCCCCCTCCTCCGCCTCCGCCACCACCTCCATGACCGCCAATGCCAATTCCAACACCTTGCATCCCAGTAGCCGGAAGGGCTGTAAATCCGCTGCCTGTTGATTCCAATAAAGCTCGCAGTCCTCCTTGTTTCTGAACAGGGGAACTGCGCGCACTACTTGACGCGTCAGAACTTCCGGTGGCTCGAGCCGATTGTCTGCCACTCATATTACTACTGCTCTTGATGAAGAAATTGTTGTGAACCTGAGTCGGACTGGTTTGTGACTGAGGATTAGGAAGGGTCGGTGGGAAGATTGAGTCCACATTTTGCATACTGGTTTGCATCATGTTTTGAAAATTAGGGGCCGATATCGGCTGCATATTTTGAAAATTAGGGGCCGGTATTGGCTGCATATTTTGAAAATCAGGGACCTGTTTTGGAAAATGAGGAGCCGGTTCTAATATTGGGGATTGTCCTGGTAGTGTCTGAGGTAGTTCATACACCTGCTGGTAAACAGCCTCTTGCATATTTGGTAATGTTGCGTGCACTGGTATATGAGAACTTAACCGATTCTGCAACAAGAACTGTTTGTCTGCCGGAATAGACGTCATCGCTATGGGTCGGACGTTCTTATGGACTAAGTCTATAAAAGATAAAGGCAATATTATTGATTTCTTCTGGTACAAATTTCTTGTTTTATTCAGTTAACGTCCTTTTTATTAACAGCTTTAATCATTTAAAGACGTGCCTCCAATTGTGTTATGTACGCTGGTTTGTTTGATTCTTTGTTACTTTATCTATACAATATTGTCTTATTTACATGTCTGTCATTCCAAGTAAATTTATTTTCAAATATTATCTATGAGCTGCAGTATCCAATACTTCAAGATATCGCCTCTGATATTCATGACTTAAACTGTTGTTGATATGATACCACCTCTATTATTGATAATATCTGTGATATATAGAGAATAATGCATGCCTTTTTCCATATCACACCCAGTATCAACCCGAGACTGAAGGCCCGAGGGCTGATATTGGTCGAGGGTTAAACCTTGGTGTGATATGGAAAAGGGCATATTTTATTCTGTTTATTACATATACTTACTTATAAAAAATAGTATCTAATGATCTATTTCAATAAAATCAATGATATAACATAGTGTTTATGGTACTACTTCTGGTATATATGCAATGACATTAAGGTTTCATCTCTAGTATTCATGATATTTAAGCTAGTGTTTCAAATATTATTTTGTATTCCACTCTAGTAACTTACCTGACAGTGTTACTTTAGTGTCCACTCTAGTAACTCATATGACAGTGTTACTTTAGTGTCCTCTCTAGTAACTTACCTGACAGTGTTACTTTAGTGTCCACTCTAGTAACTTACCTGACAGTGTTACTTTAGTGTCCACTCTAGTAACTTACCTGACAGTGTTACTTTAGTGTCCACTCTAGTAACTTACCTGACAGTGTTACTTTAGTGTCCACTCTAGTAACTTACCTGACAGTGTTACTTTAGTGTCCACTCTAGTAACTTACCTGACAGTGTTACTTTAGTGTCCACTCTAGTAACTTACCTGACAGTGTTACTTTAGTGTCCACTCTAGTAACTTACCTGACAGTGTTACTTTAGTGTCCACTCTAGTAACTTACCTGACAGTGTTACTTTAGTGTCCACTCTAGTAACTTACCTGACAGTGTTACTTTAGTGTCCACTCTAGTAACTTACCTGACAGTGTTACTTTAGTGTCCACTCTAGTAACTTACCTGACAGTGTTACTTTAGTGTCCACTCTAGTAACTTACCTGACAGTGTTACTTTAGTGTCCACTCTAGTAACTTACCTGACAGTGTTACTTTAGTGTCCACTCTAGTAACTTACCTGACAGTGTTACTTTAGTGTCCACTCTAGTAACTTACCTGACAGTGTTACTTTAGTGTCCACTCTAGTAACTTACCTGACAGTGTTACTTTAGTGTCCACTCTAGTAACTTACCTGACAGTGTTACTTTAGTGTCCACTCTAGTAACTTACCTGACAGTGTTACTTTAGTGTCCACTCTAGTAACTTACCTGACAGTGTTACTTTAGTGTCCACTCTAGTAACTTACCTGACAGTGTTACTTTAGTGTCCACTCTAGTAACTTACCTGACAGTGTTACTTTAGTGTCCACTCTAGTAACTTACCTGACAGTGTTACTTTAGTGTCCACTCTAGTAACTTACCTGACAGTGTTACTTTAGTGTCCACTCTAGTAACTTACCTGACAGTGTTACTTTAGTGTCCACTCTAGTAACTTACCTGACAGTGTTACTTTAGTGTCCACTCTAGTAACTTACCTGACAGTGTTACTTTAGTGTCCACTCTAGTAACTTACCTGACAGTGTTACTTTAGTGTCCACTCTAGTAACTTACCTGACAGTGTTACTTTAGTGTCCACTCTAGTAACTTACCTGACAGTGTTACTTTAGTGTCCACTCTAGTAACTTACCTGACAGTGTTACTTTAGTGTCCACTCTAGTAACTTACCTGACAGTGTTACTTTAGTGTCCACTCTAGTAACTTACCTGACAGTGTTACTTTAGTGTCCACTCTAGTAACTTACCTGACAGTGTTACTTTAGTGTCCACTCTAGTAACTTACCTGACAGTGTTACTTTAGTGTCCACTCTAGTAACTTACCTGACAGTGTTACTTTAGTGTCCACTCTAGTAACTTACCTGACAGTGTTACTTTAGTGTCCACTCTAGTAACTTACCTGACAGTGTTACTTTAGTGTCCACTCTAGTAACTTACCTGACAGTGTTACTTTAGTGTCCACTCTAGTAACTTACCTGACAGTGTTACTTTAGTGTCCACTCTAGTAACTTACCTGACAGTGTTACTTTAGTGTCCACTCTAGTAACTTACCTGACAGTGTTACTTTAGTGTCCACTCTAGTAACTTACCTGACAGTGTTACTTTAGTGTCCACTCTAGTAACTTACCTGACAGTGTTACTTTAGTGTCCACTCTAGTAACTTACCTGACAGTGTTACTTTAGTGTCCACTCTAGTAACTTACCTGACAGTGTTACTTTAGTGTCCACTCTAGTAACTTACCTGACAGTGTTACTTTAGTGTCCACTCTAGTAACTTACCTGACAGTGTTACTTTAGTGTCCACTCTAGTAACTTACCTGACAGTGTTACTTTAGTGTCCACTCTAGTAACTTACCTGACAGTGTTACTTTAGTGTCCACTCTAGTAACTTACCTGACAGTGTTACTTTAGTGTCCACTCTAGTAACTTACCTGACAGTGTTACTTTAGTGTCCACTCTAGTAACTTACCTGACAGTGTTACTTTAGTGTCCACTCTAGTAACTTACCTGACAGTGTTACTTTAGTGTCCACTCTAGTAACTTACCTGACAGTGTTACTTTAGTGTCCACTCTAGTAACTTACCTGACAGTGTTACTTTAGTGTCCACTCTAGTAACTTACCTGACAGTGTTACTTTAGTGTCCACTCTAGTAACTTACCTGACAGTGTTACTTTAGTGTCCACTCTAGTAACTTACCTGACAGTGTTACTTTAGTGTCCACTCTAGTAACTTACCTGACAGTGTTACTTTAGTGTCCACTCTAGTAACTTACCTGACAGTGTTACTTTAGTGTCCACTCTAGTAACTTACCTGACAGTGTTACTTTAGTGTCCACTCTAGTAACTTACCTGACAGTGTTACTTTAGTGTCCACTCTAGTAACTTACCTGACAGTGTTACTTTAGTGTCCACTCTAGTAACTTACCTGACAGTGTTACTTTAGTGTCCACTCTAGTAACTTACCTGACAGTGTTACTTTAGTGTCCACTCTAGTAACTTACCTGACAGTGTTACTTTAGTGTCCACTCTAGTAACTTACCTGACAGTGTTACTTTAGTGTCCACTCTAGTAACTTACCTGACAGTGTTACTTTAGTGTCCACTCTAGTAACTTACCTGACAGTGTTACTTTAGTGTCCACTCTAGTAACTTACCTGACAGTGTTACTTTAGTGTCCACTCTAGTAACTTACCTGACAGTGTTACTTTAGTGTCCACTCTAGTAACTTACCTGACAGTGTTACTTTAGTGTCCACTCTAGTAACTTACCTGACAGTGTTACTTTAGTGTCCACTCTAGTAACTTACCTGACAGTGTTACTTTAGTGTCCACTCTAGTAACTTACCTGACAGTGTTACTTTAGTGTCCACTCTAGTAACTTACCTGACAGTGTTACTTTAGTGTCCACTCTAGTAACTTACCTGACAGTGTTACTTTAGTGTCCACTCTAGTAACTTACCTGACAGTGTTACTTTAGTGTCCACTCTAGTAACTTACCTGACAGTGTTACTTTAGTGTCCACTCTAGTAACTTACCTGACAGTGTTACTTTAGTGTCCACTCTAGTAACTTACCTGACAGTGTTACTTTAGTGTCCACTCTAGTAACTTACCTGACAGTGTTACTTTAGTGTCCACTCTAGTAACTTACCTGACAGTGTTACTTTAGTGTCCACTCTAGTAACTTACCTGACAGTGTTACTTTAGTGTCCACTCTAGTAACTTACCTGACAGTGTTACTTTAGTGTCCACTCTAGTAACTTACCTGACAGTGTTACTTTAGTGTCCACTCTAGTAACTTACCTGACAGTGTTACTTTAGTGTCCACTCTAGTAACTTACCTGACAGTGTTACTTTAGTGTCCACTCTAGTAACTTACCTGACAGTGTTACTTTAGTGTCCACTCTAGTAACTTACCTGACAGTGTTACTTTAGTGTCCACTCTAGTAACTTACCTGACAGTGTTACTTTAGTGTCCACTCTAGTAACTTACCTGACAGTGTTACTTTAGTGTCCACTCTAGTAACTTACCTGACAGTGTTACTTTAGTGTCCACTCTAGTAACTTACCTGACAGTGTTACTTTAGTGTCCACTCTAGTAACTTACCTGACAGTGTTACTTTAGTGTCCACTCTAGTAACTTACCTGACAGTGTTACTTTAGTGTCCACTCTAGTAACTTACCTGACAGTGTTACTTTAGTGTCCACTCTAGTAACTTACCTGACAGTGTTACTTTAGTGTCCACTCTAGTAACTTACCTGACAGTGTTACTTTAGTGTCCACTCTAGTAACTTACCTGACAGTGTTACTTTAGTGTCCACTCTAGTAACTTACCTGACAGTGTTACTTTAGTGTCCACTCTAGTAACTTACCTGACAGTGTTACTTTAGTGTCCACTCTAGTAACTTACCTGACAGTGTTACTTTAGTGTCCACTCTAGTAACTTACCTGACAGTGTTACTTTAGTGTCCACTCTAGTAACTTACCTGACAGTGTTACTTTAGTGTCCACTCTAGTAACTTACCTGACAGTGTTACTTTAGTGTCCACTCTAGTAACTTACCTGACAGTGTTACTTTAGTGTCCACTCTAGTAACTTACCTGACAGTGTTACTTTAGTGTCCACTCTAGTAACTTACCTGACAGTGTTACTTTAGTGTCCACTCTAGTAACTTACCTGACAGTGTTACTTTAGTGTCCACTCTAGTAACTTACCTGACAGTGTTACTTTAGTGTCCACTCTAGTAACTTACCTGACAGTGTTACTTTAGTGTCCATTCTAGTAACTTACCTGACAGTGTTACTTTAGTGTCCACTCTAGTAACTTACCTGACAGTGTTACTTTAGTGTCCACTCTAGTAACTTACCTGACAGTGTTACTTTAGTGTCCACTCTAGTAACTTACCTGACAGTGTTACTTTAGTGTCCACTCTAGTAACTTACCTGACAGTGTTACTTTAGTGTCCACTCTAGTAACTTACCTGACAGTGTTACTTTAGTGTCCACTCTAGTAACTTACCTGACAGTGTTACTTTAGTGTCCACTCTAGTAACTTACCTGACAGTGTTACTTTAGTGTCCACTCTAGTAACTTACCTGACAGTGTTACTTTAGTGTCCACTCTAGTAACTTACCTGACAGTGTTACTTTAGTGTCCACTCTAGTAACTTACCTGACAGTGTTACTTTAGTGTCCACTCTAGTAACTTACCTGACAGTGTTACTTTAGTGTCCACTCTAGTAACTTACCTGACAGTGTTACTTTAGTGTCCACTCTAGTAACTTACCTGACAGTGTTACTTTAGTGTCCACTCTAGTAACTTACCTGACAGTGTTACTTTAGTGTCCACTCTAGTAACTTACCTGACAGTGTTACTTTAGTGTCCACTCTAGTAACTTACCTGACAGTGTTACTTTAGTGTCCACTCTAGTAACTTACCTGACAGTGTTACTTTAGTGTCCACTCTAGTAACTTACCTGACAGTGTTACTTTAGTGTCCACTCTAGTAACTTACCTGACAGTGTTACTTTAGTGTCCACTCTAGTAACTTACCTGACAGTGTTACTTTAGTGTCCACTCTAGTAACTTACCTGACAGTGTTACTTTAGTGTCCACTCTAGTAACTTACCTGACAGTGTTACTTTAGTGTCCACTCTAGTAACTTACCTGACAGTGTTACTTTAGTGTCCACTCTAGTAACTTACCTGACAGTGTTACTTTAGTGTCCACTCTAGTAACTTACCTGACAGTGTTACTTTAGTGTCCACTCTAGTAACTTACCTGACAGTGTTACTTTAGTGTCCACTCTAGTAACTTACCTGACAGTGTTACTTTAGTGTCCACTCTAGTAACTTACCTGACAGTGTTACTTTAGTGTCCACTCTAGTAACTTACCTGACAGTGTTACTTTAGTGTCCACTCTAGTAACTTACCTGACAGTGTTACTTTAGTGTCCACTCTAGTAACTTACCTGACAGTGTTACTTTAGTGTCCACTCTAGTAACTTACCTGACAGTGTTACTTTAGTGTCCACTCTAGTAACTTACCTGACAGTGTTACTTTAGTGTCCACTCTAGTAACTTACCTGACAGTGTTACTTTAGTGTCCACTCTAGTAACTTACCTGACAGTGTTACTTTAGTGTCCACTCTAGTAACTTACCTGACAGTGTTACTTTAGTGTCCACTCTAGTAACTTACCTGACAGTGTTACTTTAGTGTCCACTCTAGTAACTTACCTGACAGTGTTACTTTAGTGTCCACTCTAGTAACTTACCTGACAGTGTTACTTTAGTGTCCACTCTAGTAACTTACCTGACAGTGTTACTTTAGTGTCCACTCTAGTAACTTACCTGACAGTGTTACTTTAGTGTCCACTCTAGTAACTTACCTGACAGTGTTACTTTAGTGTCCACTCTAGTAACTTACCTGACAGTGTTACTTTAGTGTCCACTCTAGTAACTTACCTGACAGTGTTACTTTAGTGTCCACTCTAGTAACTTACCTGACAGTGTTACTTTAGTGTCCACTCTAGTAACTTACCTGACAGTGTTACTTTAGTGTCCACTCTAGTAACTTACCTGACAGTGTTACTTTAGTGTCCACTCTAGTAACTTACCTGACAGTGTTACTTTAGTGTCCACTCTAGTAACTTACCTGACAGTGTTACTTTAGTGTCCACTCTAGTAACTTACCTGACAGTGTTACTTTAGTGTCCACTCTAGTAACTTACCTGACAGTGTTACTTTAGTGTCCACTCTAGTAACTTACCTGACAGTGTTACTTTAGTGTCCACTCTAGTAACTTACCTGACAGTGTTACTTTAGTGTCCACTCTAGTAACTTACCTGACAGTGTTACTTTAGTGTCCACTCTAGTAACTTACCTGACAGTGTTACTTTAGTGTCCACTCTAGTAACTTACCTGACAGTGTTACTTTAGTGTCCACTCTAGTAACTTACCTGACAGTGTTACTTTAGTGTCCACTCTAGTAACTTACTTGACAGTGTTACTGTAGTGTCCACTCTAGTAACTTACCTGACAGTGTTACTTTAGTGTTGAGTCTAGTAACTTACCTGACAGTGTTACTTTAGTATCGAGTCTAGTAACTTACCAGACAGTGTTACTTTAGTGTTCACACAGTAACTCACCTGACAGTGTTACTTTTTTTTCCGGTCTAGTAACTTATCCGGACAGTGTTACTTTAGTGTCGAGTCTAGTAACTTACCTGACAGTGTTACTTTTTTTTCCAGTCTAGTAACTTATCCGGACAGTGTTGCTTTAGTGTCGAGTCTAGTAACTTACCTGACAGTGTTACTTTAGTATCGAGTCTAGTAACTTCCCAGACAGTGTTACTTTAGTGTTCACACTAGTACCTCACCTGACAGTGTTACTTTTTTTTCCAGTCTAGTAACTTATCCGGACAGTGTTACCTTAGTGTCGAGTCTAGTAACTTACCTGACAGTGTTACTTTAGTGTCCACTCTAGTAACTTACCTGACAGTGTTACTTTAGTATCGAGTCTAGTAACTTACCAGACAGTGTTACTTTAGTGTTCACACTAGTAACTCACCTGACAGTGTTACTTTTTTTTCCAGTCTAGTAACTTATCCGGACAGTGTTACTTTAGTGTCGAGTCTAGTAACTTACCTGACAGTGTTACTTTTTTGTCCAGTCTAGTAACTTACTTGACAATGTTTCTTTAGTGTCAACTCTAGTAACTTACTTGACAGTGTTTCTGTAGTGTCAACTCTAGTACTTACCTTGCAGTGATAACTTGGAGACCACTGTTGTGACGTGATACATCAGGCATAACACTGCCAACAGAGATGGCGACGTTCTCCTGAAGGAAACAAGATTAATACACTGTCTCTTTTACATAATTCAATCTTAAAAACAATAACCACGATATTTTGCAGATGATGCTACAAGGATGAGCTAATAAACATTTTATACCTTAAAACTATGGCAATAATACATTTAATTAAAAAATACGATATTTTATTTCATGAAGTCGCTAAACCACAGAAACCAAGCCGATGTTCTTATAAATTAAAAACAATATAAAATAAATCAATATTATCATTAAATCCGTGAGCATTATAATGCAATTCATACAGTCTTTATACAAAAAATGCCAAGATAGTTCCGATGTCTGAACAAAACTATAATTAGAATCTAAAATTATAAAACCACAGTGTATCCTATGAAAGGTTTCGATGGAGACCTGTGGAAAAGTAACAGGAGAATAAAAACAGGTGTTCAGAACGGTATGTGTCTCAACGACACTCGCCATGTTAGTCGAGGTAATATCCACATAACACCACTAGTAAAAGCAATCATATCGCCACGCGTATCATATAGCTTAGTAGTGTAGAAGTAAGCTGCCATTGGTGGTGATGTTGTAACCCTTAACAAAATACCACAGCGACAACAAAACTGCATCTCGAACTCAAAATTGATAAACCATGACAAAACGTGAACAAATGAGAGGACTTAATCGGGTACACTGGAAAGGTAAGCGTCTTCTGCTTCATCGACTACACTTGCCATGTCAATCTAGGCCAAATTCAAGGAATGTCACGTCCGTAAAGAGAGAACCAGGGCAGTGACAATGAAACATCAAGACCCACTCGTGAGCATAATAAAAAAAAGGCAAAAAAAACAATGACCTTCGCAAAAAGAAATAAAATATGCTTCATTGAGATCACAAACAGGATCACTGAAAAGCCTGTGTTTCATGTTTGTCCGTCAGCAGTCGATATTTAGAAAGTCGGGTTTTTTCACAAAATATAATCCAAAAACAAAGGTGTTCCTTCAGTTTAGTAAAAGTACCGTAGTAAAGTAAAAACGGCAAATGTTATGATATAGAAAAAAAAGATGATAGAATTTTCAAATTGATAAAAATCGAATCCTTCAAAATCTGCATTCCAGTTTATTCCACATCTTGGGTACAATTGTATATAATGCCACAATACTACTGTAATCGTTATTCAATTACATGAATATGTCTAGTAAGACGCTTTGATTCCGGCTTGTTTCAGCAACTAGCAGACCCAGCGTTGTATGTATGGGTTGTTGCGTGGTTTCGGAATTCAATACAATATACTATAATATAATAGTTATTATAAAAAGAGAGTTTTCTTTAAGACGAATGTTTACATTTTTTGTGATTGAATTGTTACACATGTTAATGCACTTCATAAGTATTAAACTATTTATTTAAGTACGAAATATTTATTTTCAAATATTTATATCAAATAAACGGAACTAGTTCTGGTGGTTTCTTCTTGTTAGCAAACCAGTACGTACTTAGGTATTTATCACTAAGTGAACATGGGCTAATAATGTATTTCATTTTTATCATCTCTGTGCACTCAAAATTCCAGGTAATTTAAAAGGTAGGCAATGATCACAAAGGGTAAGTATAGCTAAATAAAACACATCCGGCTTATGAAATAATTATATTTTTAAAAATTACGTAGCATCAAAACTCTTGATGATATGGATGCAAAAGAAAAGACAATTCCTCATAAAACTCCCGATAGTTTTAAATTGTAAATATCCGTTAATGTAAAATATTGGTCTTTCAAAGAAAACAAGTACTGCATCGTCAACACAAAATTTCCTAAAATCTACGGTTATTGTTGTTGGACAATTGTTTTTTTAAATAGCAAAAAACGCATGAATGTTTGTATAAATATGATTAAAAAACGTTTTCCACTTGAAAAAGTATATCATTTGATAAATAATTTAACATTAAAGGAGTTAGAATTTCAGTTATATTTGCAGAATAATTCGATTGTTCTTGATGCTTTAATTGTAAAAATTCATGATATGCTAAAAGTGTATTAATGGTCCTTACCTCATGATGTCTCTAAGCTGCCCCGACTAGCTCCACGTAAACACTGTCAAACTAGTGAAGGAGTTTTTTCTTTAATGCCGTATTATATTGGCACAATAAAAACACTCCAACGCCTTGTCCCTCGCTGTCTTCCTCATAATGTAGAAACACACGTTGTGGTCGAGCGTTGTATACTGCGCGAGGTGATTCTAATCAACCGGAGACAACCTTGACAGCACGAACAGCACATTCATCCCATTGCATACCTGTACTCAGATTATAAAGCTTTGCAAGCTTAATTTTAATCTAAACCATATTTTTCCACCTGAATATTTTAATGCCAATTGCAGAATTGTCAATTTTATGGATCGTTTTATCAACTGGTGACTATTATAAACCGAGGAACAAGCATCTTTAAGTGTTTTAATTCTAATCAATCGGGACAAACGAAGTAATTCAAATTTTACTTTAACATATAATTTAAAAGTAAGCTAACAATACCTATCGCGATACTTTATCAATGTGCTATATATGTATTAATGTTAAAATGTTCTTGTATAATGGGAGTATGTATTCATCTTACCCGGAACACACTTAACAATTAATGACTCTTCTGAATACCTCAACAAAGAGTTAAAGCCAAATATCAGATAATAACGGAAATGTTTATGTATTTATTTATGATTATTTTCTCGTTTATATTGGTTTCAGATGATATCATTGGTGTACGTCTAAGGAATATAATGAATATTCAGTTTTATTGGTTTTTAAATAAGACATTTCTCAGGGTTGGAAGTTAAAGGACAAGTTAAGAAAGCAGTTTTATGTTCCGTTTTTAGAGTTCCAATGACGTCACCATGTGTTGACGATACCGCCGTGTATATATCTACTATTGTTATAAATTAGATATATCGCCTACATACAAAAGCTCATTCAAAATCCCATTTTAATGTCAACGTCTAGTTACCTAGAATGACAAGGCTTCGCCTAAACCATAGTTCGAATTGCAATCGATAAAACTAGGGCAAAATATGAACGAATGAAAAATTTGCATAGAGACGCTTGAGAAAATACAAGGATATTAATATCAGCTCAATTGACTTAAATATATCTTTAAACTAAACAGGTAATCGTATCTATTCTACTTCTACTCTCGTTATGTCAACGTCATTAGAAATATTGGAAAAGACAGGATAAGTGGGGTATTTTATATATCACAACGAAAATACACAGAAATTTTCTTGCAAGCTTGAGAATAAATGAGCAGCCGCAGAATGCAGAGGTGTATAAGTGAAGTATGGTTAGGCACGCATTAATGTCTGAAGTGTAGTCTTATAAGAATATAAACTTATATGGCAATAACACACTAGACTTGTACAATTTCATTCATTGGCAACGCAATTGAAATGTATCCATGCTATGATACAGTACTAGTGTATATACATTGTATAGCCAAATCCTAATATCACTAAATGCAAAACGGATAATTAGTTCTAACAGTCGTGTAATCTTTTTATTTATATATTCAATTGTAGATTTTCTTTAAAATCAAACAAACAAACAAAAACGACAAACATCTTTGCAAATAACTAAAACTGTGGATAAAAAAACATGCAAATATTAAATTGCATTCAGATTTGTTGACCTTTAATTATTTGAACATACTTTTCTGGGGAATTGAATAACACTAGTTACATTATGCCAAAGTTCATAACTGACATTGGTAGGTTTTTTGTGAAGTGTCGATGCAGATTAAATGTCTATATTATAATTTCGCTGTTGACTTTTAGAATACACGTCCAGTCTGTTCTGGTTATATACAGATAGACATGCATCTCTAGATGTTATAGCATGTGATAATTACGGGAGATAAAATGTCAGTTTCATACCATGTACCTGTCGTTCATTCACTGACGCATCATATATCATCACGCCCCCTTTTCTTCACTTCGCCATAATCGTTACAAAATGCCACTTTAACAAACCGCCTGCAATTAATGGAGTTCTCGTGTAATCTTTAACAGACCCTTCAACATTTAGTCATTACAAATGAATAAGTAAATAGATATGTAATCTTGATATTTCCTGATGAGCTAGTAAACTACTTTATTGATGAATAATAAATTTCACATGACAAATAGTTTTTGTACATGTACAGATTCTTACGCTTTGGATAATTAAATTTACACATCAAATGTTCACCCAATGACAGAAATGCTCCCTTTTGATCTAGTGGATTTTCTTATTTCATTGCTGTATTTGCAATTATTCGGGCTAAGACTTGTGCATGTGCATTTAACATGTAAACAATTGTTCAATTGATTTAGTAGTTTGATTTTTTAAACTATCAAACGAAATGGATATTAACATTTAAAAAAATTAAAAGGACATTTATAAAAAGAAATCGAAACAATTTTTTTATAACTGTTATGATAAATCCTGTACCTTGAAACACATTAATACCTTATTTTTTGTTATTATTAATTTACTATGTTAGCATTTGTATGACGTCTTCAATCAACCAATCAACTTACGTGTAGCAAAAAATAGATCAGCACGACTTCACAATGTTACATTTTCTATACTTAATAAATGTCGTGAAATCTGAATTTTAAACCCAAAGGTATACAGATGCCATAGAAAGCTTACGGCAATGAACTTATATAGCGTAAATAATAAGATTAAGTGTCAGTAAAATATAAACAGGTTAATTATTCTATTAATGTACATTATGACAATGGTCGACACCGCTTAGTTAAGGATCCCCATACCACTTCCAAAAACTGAACGTAAGTGTAGAAAACTGGTTTTTCCTACATGACTATAGCCTTAATAAATTATTTCTGAAAAGAAAACCGTACCTTGTGGGACTTTTGTGAGAAATAGTAAAGAAAAAATAAACAAAATATAATCAACGACAGATTGGAAAAAATACAGCGGGGCTTGACCAGGATTCCAACACCGGACTTCAGATTGTTGTACTATCGGTCAACCTGGTCAACGGAAGTGTCCTGGCCCAACTTTGCTACGGTTATGTCCAAACGGAAGTTAAAGGGAGGTAACTGTATAGAGAGAAAGCCACAGTGCAGTGTGACAGGGATATTTAATATCGATTAACGCTAGGCGGCTTATGTGAAGCGATGACCGAAAAATCTATTCAACGATACAATAACATTCATTATTGTTATTCATCAGGACGTGCCTCTATTGTGTGTAGTGTATGCGTAATTGCGATTGTGTTTGCAGGAGACAGGGTATGTTGGTGTTCTTGCCTCCTTGTAGTAGCGCGGATCTGATGCCGGCCATGCCGAAGGCACCCAGCACAGCATTCCACCCGGTCACATTATACTGACAACGGGTGAACCAGTTGTTGTCATTCATGCTGAACGTTAAGCAGGGAATAACAACTTCCATGTTTAAGGACTTTGGTATGTCCCGGCCCGGGGATAGAACCTATTACCTTCCTCTCTTGGGCTAACGCTCAACATAAAGGCCAAAAGTGAGGTATTGCCAAGCAAAGCGATAGGAAACAAAAAGTAGTTAGAAGTAGATAGAAAGATTAAATTCCCAAATATTGCAATGGGTGTCCCCAAATAGAGGACACCAAAGCAAATCCCCTATTCTGCATGGGGTTCCCACATTAGTCGCCTCCTACGATACATGCAGTGGGTAACAGCATGTGTATTCTTTTCCCGATCCCTCACCTGCAGGGGTGATCTCGCAGGGTAATACAGTGTATGTTTTGTCTTTGTGTAATATGAAGGTCGATGTTTTTATTATGCTCATTAGCTATAGAGTTCCTTGTGGTTTTGTTGTCGTCACTTCCTGAGTTCTCGATGTGAGGACGTCATACTACTTGAGTTTGACCTAGATTTACATGGTGGGTGTCGTAAATTAGGCAGAAAACGCTTACCCTTCCGGAACACATGGCCTTGATATCGATGTACCTTTTTTTAAAGGTATCCGTGTAAATCATTCCTTTATTCACATTTTGCCCAGATTTTGAGTGATAGTTATGGCTTTGTTGACACTTCGGTATTCTTAGGGAATCATAAAGAATTTCTTTTGTCCTTTTTGCCTGAATGTACCATAGGCAAATCAATATCAGAACGATGTGTTACACGGCTCCAAGAATCTAAGAACACAACTGATGTTTCAGACGTCAGACAAGTGTCACCACTGCAAAGCATGAGGTCGAGGTTGTAATCAGAATAAATGTGGTAATGTGCCCTACTGTGGTTTGGCTACTTAAATATATTACATTGTGGCATAAGCCACAGAAAAGTACGTGGAAACTAATTCTTAAATATAATTCATATATAAAAAAAAAAGTCAGGACAGTTGCTCGCGTAAATCTGATATGAGTAATATACAAACAAATATTTTACTCAGTGTAGTTTGATAAGGTACATCAATCTCCATGAAATGAATGTCTTATATACACTTTTTTTCTTGCACGCAACATGTTATATGAACATACCTGAACATTTTCGCCGCAGTTTTAATCTCGCACTATTTTTACGAGGGCGAATTTATCAGCAAAAGATATAGGAAGTAAACATAACACATATAGTAATTTTTATGTAAAGGACAAAATTAACACTGGGCAACAATTGAGTTTGTTGGTGAAGGGCGTAAGTTTTGCTAGGCGAAAATTTCCTTATATATACAGTAACTCGAAATATCTTTAAAAACATCAAATAGTATACAGATAAGATAAAGGATAGTCTGTGAAAAACATTAGTCCACATTGAAACAGGACTTTTATAGCTCCTTATTTAATATTTTCATTATTACCATGATTTTTATATGATCAGTAAAATTTCTAGCACCAACAGAATATGTCCTTCATTAAGTATGGTTCGATGACCCAAATATAGCAAATAGAAACATGTTCCCGTTGGTTCGATGACCTAAATATGGCAAATAGAAACATGTTCCCGTGGTCTTTCTCAGATTCAGTGCTCATGGACAATTCCAATCTTTCAGCTCATAAAACGTTTTTTAAGTCATTAAATCAATATACTAAGCGTCATTTCCAGGCAAAGTACGGTTCACAAATTTCAGGTTTGTTTTAACATTTCCTTTCG